GAGCTACAGGTTCAGTAGATTGTAACTTTAAAATTGGTATGTTACATGAGGCATTTTGTCTAAAGCATCTTTGAGTTATGCATATTCATAAGACAATTTGCATAAAGCATGAGGGGCACAACATGGACAATAAGCAAAGCTCTGAAACAGAGCATGGTATGGAAGCTATTCAGATGAGGATAGAAACTACTTCTCCTATAAAAGGTGGACTTTCTGCAGTGGACTTCAAGACAGTGTTGTTTCTAAAACATGGGCTCCATCCCCTTTGGGGTGGGAATTAGGGATATTAAATATCGGTTAGTTGAATAGTCGAGTAAACTCACGAAATGTTATCGGTTAGTCGACTATTCTGTCGTTTCTGGGGGCGAGGCTGGCAGCCACTATCAGGCATCAGCATAGGGTGCCAGGTGGGAGCTAGTAAGCTCCCCTCGCGAACCATCTGCCTGCCGCCCTGTGCTGCTGCTTCTGAGACACAGAGCAGCACAGGATGGCAGCAGTCCCTGTCTGTGGTGGGGGATCTGAGCTCCCGGACCTGGCGTGAGCCAGAATTGAGCTGAGCTTGGCTGGCTGGCTCTTAATACACCTGAAGAGCAGAGCTGCAGCAGGGGTAGGTCTCAGACCTTCCAGCCAGCCTGCTAAAAAATTCACTGGGGAGAGGGAAATGCGTGTAGTCTATAGCATTAACCTATTAGCTTTTGCTTCTCGGTTAATCAACTCCACTGTTACATCCCTAGTGGGAACAAAAAGTTAGCTAGCAGGGTGAAGGGGAGCTATACGTGAAGATAGATAGGCTTTTAACAACATACGATGTAGCTGCAGCTTTCAAATGTTTGAGAAATGCTCCCTTTACGTTACGGGCCTTTTGGCTCCAGTCATCAGTCCTCCTTTCAGTCCAGGTGAGATCCTTTGTCCCCAGCACACTCTTCAGATGTGTGGGGTAAGACAGGAGGGGCTCTTGATTTCTCCAGAAAATGTTATCCATGGGATTGGCGCTTAATAGTCTGAGCCCAAGAGTCTGTCCTGAGCCATTCAAGATAAAATGGAAGATTTTCCTGTCAGATCCCACCAGCTAGCATTGGGTTTTCTGAAGCTAGACATCATAATTGATCATTCTGGCCACACTGATTTCCCCTTGAAACTTACACTTGTCCCCTGAGTTCTCCAGGAACCTCCCTCCTTGCGATCTTTTACTCCATTTTCCTTGAGCGGGGGGGGGGGGGGGGGGGGGGGGCATGCAAAGTCTCCTCCCAGCACCAGGAGCATGGGTACCTAGTGGGAACTGCCAGCTGTTCAGAAAAGCTGGAGGTTCTGTCTGTGGGTGGGGGGGCTGCAAAGACTCTGCGCATTCTTCCACCCCCAGACCAATCATGGATGGAGAAGCACGGAAGTGTCCTGGCCCCGCCTCTTCTGCGTGAGACCCCACCCCTTCCGGGCTAGCCCAGGGCCACTTCAAAAATTTCTGAAATGGCCCCTAGTCAAAAATTATTTCCCATCCCTGGGCTAGATTAGTGTTTCTCAACCAGTGGTATGAGTACCCTTAGGGATACTCGAAGTCTGGGGGGGTATGTCAACACAACTGAAATTTGGGGAAAACCGAATTTTTGTGTTAAGTTTTACAGTGCTTTATTATTTTTGTACTTTTTACACCCAAAAATTTCATTGCCCGCCCGGCTACAATTAAGCTGTTTAAACAGATGTGTTGCAATAGTAGAAAAAAAATGTTGTATGTCTGAAAACTGTAGGTACTGGGGGTACTTATAATTTTGGGGGGGGCACGAAGGGGCACTTTATCTTAAAAAAAAAAAAAAAAAAAGAGGTTGAGAAACAATGGTCTAGCTCATCCCTGATGTCTGTTGAATTTGCTTTTGAATATCTCTAGAGATGGAGATTCCATAACCTCCCCAGGCAATTTATTCCAGTGTTTAACCACCCTGACAGGTAGGAAGATTTTCCTAATGTCCAACCTAAACCTACCTTGCTGCAATTAAAGCCCTGCTGCTTGTCCTCTCCTCAGAGATTAAGCAGAACAGTTTTTCTCCTGCCTCCTTGCAACACCCTTTTAGGTACTTAAGCAGCTATCATGTCCCCACTATTTTGAAATGCATTTTGTGTGTAGACGCGTTATTTTGAAATAACTATTTCGAATAACACTGTAGTGTAGACATACCCTTAGTGAGAGAGAGGTGGTTCTGACTGTTGATGGATTGAGGCTTTGGTCTGAATGCATTTTTAAGCAGGCATCCCTCTAGTGACAAGGTGTTCGTGTGACCTTAGCTATTAGAATTTGGAACAGGCTGAGCAAACCGTGACATGATTTAGTTCAGTTCCACTTTCCAGAAAGGGGAAATAAAAGATGCTGTACTGTGACAGCCTGAGCAATAAATGTGCAAACATCTACATTTTACTTCCCTGGTTGCAACCTGACTATAGCCTTGCCTACACTGGCATGTTTTGTCACCAAAATCTTATTTTTGTTGACAAACCACTGAGTGTACATACTAAAATGCAACTTTTGTCTGGCGGGGAGGGAGAGAAAACATCCAGTTTTGGTGACAAAAAACTTCCACCTCTGTGTGAAGCTTTTGTCTTTCCCCTCCCTTTGTCAACAAAGAGCCAGCGCTGACTCTATTTTGTGGAGAAAACTGGCTTCATCCAGTATCCCACAATGCTTGCCCTGGTAGCTGGGCTCAGTGTTTTGTGATCTCTGCTGCCCTGCAGGCATGTGCCCCTCCCCTTTCAAATCTCTAGGATGTATTAAAAAGCTGAGTGAGCTGCGCCCTTTGGGGAACAACCAGAAAAAGCAAATCATTAGAATGCTCCTGTTCTGCCCTGCTAAGAACACAGTGGCAGGCAGGCTGCTGCTGCAGGGGGAGGGCTGGAGAAATGGCTGCGCTGCTTTGACATTCCCCAGCACATAGAGCTCACAGAGCTACTCCTGATGCTGATCCCAGCCGCTGAGAATGCTGAGGGAGAACTGTGAGAGAGTCCCAAGAAGCACAGGGCTCAGCTCTTCCTTTGCACAACACTGCACTGGGGGATGCTGACCCACACTGCTTCATTCGAGAGGGGAGCTTGCAGTGTGGCCATGAAATGTCAACAAGGGGAGGCAGAAAAACCAGTTTAACTGGCTTTCAGTTTTGCAAGTCAACAGCACTTTTGTTGCCAAACCTTTCCAGTGTAGACAGAACTGTAGCTTGCTCGGTTTTGGTAGGGGGCTGGAGTTCTTCCTTGTCATCTTGAGCAGTATATTAGCTGTCCAGGATTCAGTCATACAGCCTTAGGCGAAATTGCGCTCCATTTGAAATTAATGGCAAAACTCCAATCGACTTCTGTGGGATTGGGATTTGGGTCCCAGAACATCTCCTGCCCCTTCACACCTCTCCCACTTTGTCCTGCTCCCGGTCTTTGGCACTAAGCCATCCAGCCATCCTTGGGAAATAGGTAGTTGATGACAAAGTGACTCCTTGAGTGTGAGAGGAGGGGAAATGAGAAAATGCCATCACACTGACAAAGCACCCAAGTGAGAGAAACAGGAGACGTAAACACCCCAGTCGTCCTTTTGATTGCCAATTACTGAAACGTAATTTAAAAGGGGAGGCCTAAAAACTTAGCTATGCTGTAACCTTGTTCAAAGTCTCACAGCTTCCGGGAGGCTTACGTGCCATTTCAGATGTGTGGGGCAGGGTTGGGAGGGGCATTTGTTGTTTTGAGGGTGTAGAATATCCTCTGATTAGTCCAGGCACTGTGTCTGCCAGACCTGTGCCTGTGTATCTGGGTGGGTTTCACAGGGCCGTGCTTCAGAGGCTTTGGCCTGTGGCACCCCAAGGCATCTTGCCCAGGTTCCTGTTGGTTGTATACGAGAGTAAAGGAGGTACTGCTGATCGGTACCTCTCAAGCATCACCACCTTGTAGATGGGGAAGACTAGTGGGTTCTTCTAGTGCCACAAGAACCCAGAGCCCCCAAGGTGGTGCTGCTGCTGCTGTTCAGAAGAAGGAGTATAACTTAGCTGGGCAGAATATAACTTTACGTTTTTCATTTTCTCTTCTGTGCCTTTAAGTGTGGTTATAGTTTCAAAGTGACCTTGTAAAAATAACACTTTATTCCCTTGATTTTTTTTCTTGTGGATCTTCAGAGTAGCAGCTATATATATCTGCGATAAAAATTATATTTTCTTGTACTGCAAAGCTAACACAGCTATAAAAGGTAAAAGGCGTTTCATCTGTGGATAATAGAAAAATAAGGAATTATAGAAGTATTGTGTTCCTGTAGATACATATTCCCATTGAAACCGCAATTCATTCTGAGGAAGAAAATACGTTTTTCTGGGTCTGGTTTTTGTAGTTTTTCCTCCAACCTCCCTCCTTCCCTCATAATAGCTTAGTCAAAATCTCCACTGAGATGCGCATGTGCACGTGTGTGTGTGTATATGTTAGATAATGGTATGGTCCCTGGGGTTTGGTTTTTTTAGGGACACAGTCTACTCCTATTACACTGCAATAAATATTGTGTAACTCCATTGGCTTCAGTGTATCTTTCTTCAAAGTAGTTACTCCAGATGAACATAAAAATAACCAAGATGAGCATCTAGCTAATGATTCCAGCAAGAAATGCACTCGAATATGTATAAAGCAAAGGTCAGAGCAGCAGTGATATGCAAATTACCCCATCTCACCACACACTAAGAAATCTGAAAAATCAACAGAAAAAAAACAAACTGTGGATATATTCTGTTGTGTTTCTTGAGCTTCATCTCTTATGTCCTGATGTGTCATCAGTTTGGCTAATATGGCTGCTTTGTTTTTATGTGCATATGTAATATAAAAATACACTGTCTCTCTTTAAAGAATGTCTGCATAAAGTCAAGTGTCTACATCCAAACATAGGCACCTAAATAAGTGGCCTGCTGACCATTCATAGTTCCCAATGAGAATTAGTAGTAGTAAAATTTGCTTCGTAAAGCAAACATATTCAGGCATCTTATTTTTCTTTCCTCTCTCAGGCGATATGCATGGTGGTTCCGATTGCGGAAGATGTTAATCTGGTTGTTGGCAGTATACATAGCCATTCCATTTCTAGTAAAACTTTGTCCTTCTATTCAGGTGAAGCTGGTCTTCTTAAATTTTGGTAAGTGCTTCTGTGTGTTTTCTTGATGTATTATTTTTTTAAAGTGAAACAGAAATAACTATTTTTTTGCCTGAACTGCTTTTTAAATATTTTTAGCAAATCGGACACCATATTTGCCTTCCTACTTCTCTCTATATCCACGTTTGAAAAATGCATCCAAATGTGTATTGGTTTCCCCTACTTTGTCCTGTGCCAGAAAGCTGCCCTTTGACTGTTGTACTTCAGCCAAATGAGCTGTACGTTGCTAATGGCTTTTTCATATGTGGGGCGGATGCAATTCTGGTGTCCATCAAAATGCTGCAGTGGGAACTGCCCAAACTATGTAGAAAATAGAAACTTCTGTGCATTTAAGAAGCTCTGAGTTTAACTGATGTATTTGTTCCCCTTATCCAGTTATGATTTGTGAAGGATGTAACTATTTTTATAGATTTTGTGAATTCTGAGGCGGGTAGCCTCATAAAATGTATGGTTTATGCTAATTGTGAGTTGTGTGTTTTGTGTGTGGAGCTAGCAGCCAAATTCCAATTAGCCTGTTAACCCGAAATGAACAAAAACTGTGCCTGTGGGGAAAGAGAACAAAGCAGCATGTGATCTGACGCTGAGAGCATTCACATGACCAAGATCCTGTTTCATCTGAAATTAATTGAAATTGTTGAGTGTCTGTCTTCCAGACTGCAGTTCCTCACCCAAAAGCATGTTTGGGAAAATATACTGGCCAGAGCAGAAAAAACAGTGGCTCATCAGTGGCACATTAACAGTGTCCCTTCAAGTGTTGCAAATCCTATCGCATGGGATTTCCCATATTACAGTTCAGCAGTCTGGTCTTGTATTTTGTTCTTTGTGCTACTGTGTTTTACCTGCATAAGCACAGCCCCCAAAGTCGATGCTGCCAGCGTAGCTATGCTGGCTTGTGTTGGCAGTATGGGTGGGGAGGGTTGTTTCCTGACCACACCCGCACCTCCGACTAATACCTGTACTGATACCACTTTTTTTTTAATAGCCAATATCTAGGGCACAGCTAACTGCTGCAGAGGCTTCAGAGGACAGCACAAGAGTCCTGATAAGGGATGTTAAAGTGTAACCAACTTAGGCATTTAACCGATAAGATGATGCTTATCGGTTAATGGGGTTGGTGAAACTCAGGCAGCTTCACTGCAACGGGATAGCAAAGCCTCCTCCCCAGGAGCTGGGTGGACAAAGGGCTGCTAGCTCTTGCCGGCTCGGCTCCTGGGATTGTGTGGCTGCAGGCTCTGTAGTACAAAGCTTGCTTCAAGTTTACCCTGCAGAGCCACAGCGTGTAACCACTGAATCCCTGAGATTTTCAGTGGTTACACTGTTACCTATTTATCTGACTTAATTTCCCTACTTGTAATGAGAACTTATGTAACATCTCTCCTGAGGGGAAACTTTCCCCACCCTTTTAAGTCATTCCCAATACTGTAGTTTGTCCATGCCCCTCTCATAATTTTTATTATATATCTTTGGGCCTCTTTTATTTTGGTTATCTAATGTTAAGCAATGGTGAGCAACCAAACCCAAATACAGCTTTCCATGTGTGGATGTACGGAACGGTTCTGTAATAGTGGAAAGTGTTTCAGTGCCACACTTCACTCCTCCTCCCATCTGATTGCCAAATGCTGTTGTGAACTGAGCAGGTGTTCCTCACTAGCACTCAGGTCTCTTCCTTTGCTTGTTCCAACACGTTGACTGAATTCAGCAATGTGCGCGACTCGCGCAGGTTACCGTTTCCAGTGTACATCCCCTTGCATTTGTTAGCAGCCAGTTTGAGCTGCCCTTGTGTTGCTTTACTAAGTCCCTCTGATGTGCTTGATGGGGGCACTTCTCCTAAATGACTTACATAACTTTGTGTCCCCTGCAGAACTAGTCTCCTCACCAGTCTTAGTACAGATGGCTGTCTACCCCATAGTTCCTAATTTCTGTGCTATCTCAGCTGACTTTTCATACTTAAATTTTTACCCCATGATTATCTCATTTCTCGAATAACCTCCTAGGAGGGGCTTTTGTTAGATGCTTCTTTAAAGTCCTCTATCTGCCATTTTGTTGCCATGCTGGAGAAATTCTGTTTGCTTGCAGAAGCATGAATCTTCTTTGTAGAAACTGCAGGATTTTCCATATCGGGTCATCACTTTAAAATCTCCCAAGTATAAATCTGTTCTCTTTATCCACACTGGTATCTTCTCACTACTTTTTTTTAGTAAGTTATATATGCCAATAAGTGTGGGAGGTGGAATGCAATACAAACTGTTTGTTTTGCAACTTTGCTGCTGCTTTATGGTTACATGTGTTTTGACTTTTAAAAAGCATCTTGTTAAATGGATACTGAGTTCAGTGATCAATTTACAGTTGTTCCTTTCATTCTCTTTCCTTTCCTTCCTCCTTCCATCCCCCACCCAAAACTAGTAAGCAGCACAGCTATTTAAATTAGCATTATCGTTCACCCTTGCATTAGTTAAGAATGCTGATAGGACATCATTAGTCATATTAGTAGGTCTGCTGGGTTCAGTGTTGAGTCCTGAACCATAGATTCTGGCTCTGGTTGGTGAAATACCATATGGCTATCTCAATTTTAAGATTTGGGTAGGTGGTCTGGCTGCTCCCTGTGGAAGGCTTCCTATTGCTTTCGCAATTGTTGTGAAAAATACAGCAGGCAGATATAAGAAACCTAGCATCAGAGGGCTGTTACGTTTGCAAGTTGAAGAAGGCATGACTTATGTATTGTCTCCATGCTTTTATGATTGGGGAAGGGGGTGTAATTATTTAAGTGAGCCACTTCAGACATTTTGGAAGTGGTCGTCAGCCACCCCAGAGGAGGCAGGGCCTCGGGTGGAAGGGACGGGGCCTTTAAATAGAATCAAGTGAAAGGGCTCACACCTCCCCTGTGGCTCCCAGGGAACCCGGCAGGGCAAGGAGCTGTGAGCTATTTAAAAGCCTTAGCAGCTGCCAGGAAACTTTTTTTGGTAAAACTTCTGCGCTTTCCCCCCCCCCCCCCCTTGAAACCATGGTTTGAGGGAAACTGCCTTAGAGGAAAAGGTGAAATCTGGACAGATGTGATACATTTGTCCAAGTCTTGCAGGAAAGCTCTGTGTAAGCTTGAAAGCTTGTCTCTCCCCAACAGAAGATGATCCAATACGAGATATTCTCTCACCGATCTTGTCTCTTAATAATTTAGAATGTAAAAAGTTAGGAATCTGAATAGCTGTAAAGTACACTAACTACTTAAATGTGTGTAGATCCAGCATAGTCTCTCACTTAGCAAAAAGAAGCACCACATTTAGTTTAAAGTATCTATTTAGTTGCAAATCAACATGTTTTAATGGTTGCCAATGACTAACAGTCTTTCTCTAGAAAAATGACTGAAAAGTACAGATGGGATGTAAGTGACTAGTCAAATAGTCAACTACCCGATTACTCCCTTCCCCTACTCCTTGCTGCCTCTGTATCAGAGGCAGTAACAGGTAGGGGGAAGCAGGAGTGGGTGCTGGGGGGAGCTAGCTAAAAAGCTGGTTTCCCCCAGCACTGTCTCCATGGTGCGTGGGGAGGAGGCAGAGCCGCAGCGGGAGACGGTGTGAGCTGGGACTGTGCAGTCCCGGCTCTCACTGGCTGTGGGAGCTGCCCCCTCTGTGGCTCTGCAGTTTATATGTAGTAGGAGTTGGCTGCCTGCATGCCTGTCTCCTGCTACATTTGAACTGCAGAGCCACAGCAGGGAAGCTCCTGGACCTGGCGCGTCTCCTCTTATTGACTAATCGTGTAGTCGATACAAGTTGCATCGACTTCCCAACTAGCCACTTACCCACTGCTTAACATCCCTAATGCTAAAATATATGGAAATCATTTGCCTAAATCAGGGTTTTCTACTTGCTGATTTAAGTAGTGATTAGGACCAGTGATTAGATTAAATTGCTTAAATATCAGTCCATCCTGACAAAGACCCTTTGTGTGTGACAGGGTTTCCACTTGAAAGGTTCTCCCAGTTCAGTGGCTTAATATCAGGAAAAGCTCCTTAAACTTCCTTTTTCCTCGTTTCATCCTGTTACTTTTAGTTATATGTTTGTACTATTCTGAACAATTCATTTCCCTCCTGGATGCTTCTATGCTTCTAGTACTAGTAGCTAGTTTCCCATTTTCACCTGAGGGGGACAGATCTTTTTGGCATAGTAGACAAATGTAAAATTATTTTGCAAAGACCTGTTGGGTTTTTTGGATAGGTTTTGAGTTGCATACAGTTAGCTGTATTGACTTGCAAGAAAACAGAATGTAATGGCTCCAGTTTCTGAACTTTTACTCTTTGCTCTGTGTTTCAGTGAGGGTTCCGTATTTCATTGACTTGAAAAGGCCACAGGATCAAGGCTTAAACCACACCTATAATTATTACCTTCAGCCAGAGGAGGATGTAACCATTGGAGTCTGGTATGTAAGATTGTGCTCCCCTGACATCTCTTATCACACCCTCTGCATCCTTAGTGTGGAGATTGCACTTGGGATCCCAGTGCAGAAACTGTCTCTCAACAACGGCCTTACTGGTGAATGGTAATGACCGTTGTGCACATCCACAGAGGAGAGCAAGCATCTTTCTCAGCCTCGTGTGCAGTCCATGCCAAAAGCTATGTAATTCTCTGGCTCCTCAGGTGAAATAAGTGTTCTTGTTTGGAAATTGGCAGGTGTTGCTCTGCATTGCTCAGCATCCCAGTGCAGAAACTGTCTCTCAACAACGGCCTTACTGGTGAATGGTAATGACCGTTGTGCACATCCACAGAGGAGAGCAAGCATCTTTCTCAGCCTCGTGTGCAGTCCATGCCAAAAGCTATGTAATTCTCTGGCTCCTCAGGTGAAATAAGTGTTCTTGTTTGGAAATTGGCAGGTGTTGCTCTGCATTGCTCAGCA